GTGCCTGTGTGCACGCATTTCAAGGCATCTCATTTTCATAGCATTGTGCATGCTAGGCTGTATCTTAGTTGCATTTCATGCATATCATGCATATTGCATCGTGTTCGGGATAGGAGTTAGCCCGGGCACGGGAAACGAGTTACATTTCGTACTTCAAGTGACAGAATGTGTCTCAATTCCCTAGCCACCGACACTCCGGATTATCCATGATGGAGTTAGGTTTTAGCTGTGTTTCATGTGCATTCATTCTATATTGAGTTGTGCATTTCGACTCCTCGGCCATCATGCCTCGGTATGCATGATTGGTGGCACGAGGATCGAGACATGCATATATCTGTGCAAATACATTGCTATGCCCCTTTCCTGCTCTCTGTTGCAGCAAAACGAAGAATCAACAACTTTTTTTGGGGCTTGGCACGCATTTCAAGAACAGGTGTAAACAGAGGCTAATCGGGGCATTCCGGTGGATTTCCGCGCAAAACAATCCGGACATGCATCATCCATCAGAAGCAAGGCAGTCCCTGGCCTGCACGCCAGTTTTACACGCTTTCTTAGTTAATTGATTAATTAATCAGGATTTGTATATTATTTGGACTGTATTATTTAGACTGTACTATTCTTTTATTCGGGACTAATTATTTATTTGACCCTCCGCGCGAGGGCACAACTGTAATAAGTGTGCGTGTGTGTGTTGTATGTCTTCCAACCCCACGTCTTTCTCCTTTTATTTATCTGCTTATGATGGTTAGATTAGGGCATATTTCAATTAGCATACAATATGACATCATGTTTGCATCATTCTGTCTGTTTGCATGCACCCGGGCCTCGGCGCTCATACTAACAGCATTGTATTTCAATTTCAAAGTTGAATACTTGTTAGCTGTAGCATTTCATATGCCATGTTTAGAATAGCCGAGCCTCTATAGTTGCATTTTTGGCATGTGTTGCATTAGGCATTTCTGTATATTTAGGATTCATGCATGATTCCTAATTGAGTTTTTTGTTTTGGCTTGGAGTACTCGGTGAGTTTTTATGCTTTAGCGCCCTATGCATGCGTGTGAGTGACTGTCATGATATGCATGCTTACCATGAGGCTATATGCTTATGTGATATAACTGCCTGAATGCTGTGGGGAGGTTGGGTTGTTTAAATTGGAACAAATCATTGACTGTGAGTTTTAAGCCCACTAGAATAGTGGCAAAATCATCTTTTCTAAACCCACCTCGCGGGTGGCAAAATCTGCATTTTAAGCCTACTTGCGAGTAGCAACCATCTTTCAAATAAACGAGCATAAAATGTTTTGTTCCAATTCGGGCGACCCAGTCTATACTTATATGCTGTGCGCATCACATAGTAACCTAGGCTAATAACCGGAATAAGAACATACAAATGTTTTTCAAAAATAGCATATCGATTGTGTTAGTAAGAGGCCGCATCTTTGACGGGGCGGGCGTGGCCGCTGCCACACCACGCGGGATGCCTGCCAAAAGTGACCTTACGGCCCCAACGGTGGCTCTTGTCAGTGCCAGCACGCAAGGTGTATGCCCCGCGCCGCAGGCAACTGCTTGGCTGAAGCCTGCGCTCTGAGCCAGCTTTCCCTGGCCGCGACGGCCGTGTTTTTCCGTACCGTCGCAACGGTGGTCTTCTCTGGCTTTGGCTCGCTTAGGCTACTGCGACGTGTTACAGGGTTTTCTAAATTTCCACATTGAAAAAAAACATTTAGGTGGCGACTCTGCGCTTGTTTTGTCAATTTTGTTCATGTTCTCATTAATTTCGTGACACATTTTTCCACGATAAAAATATTGTTTCCTCAAATCTGAATTTTTCTGTGCGATTTATTATGGCCATCTTCTTGTGTTTTGTTATATCGAACGGTATGGATACCATCATAACAAAAAGGGTTAGATTTTTTGAGAGCTCTCCTAGAATTAAATTTTGTAGTCTGTCAAAGAATTCTGTACCTATAAATTTTAAAAAAAAATATTTTTCCTGGAATAATTACCCATTCAAAATATTGTAATTACGCTGGGGTTTAGAAAAATGCAGTTGGCGGGTCTGTTTGGTCCTATGATTTAAGTTTCTGGGGCTTGAATTTTTTATTGTAGCACTAATGTGTGGATGGTCGTTTACTGGATTTCTGGGGACGGTTGTTACCGACATTTTTTAACCCTCAGATCTCTTAACTAGAATATTATCCATTTGTCTCTGCAATTTGATTATATTTTTATTATGGTTTCATTTTGTAAAAAATAATTCCACTCAAAGAGAAATTCAGGAAACAAATTCCAGAAAAATAGTCGAGGGACTTGATCACCTTTGTTATAGTCTCATAGTTTATGTGTCCTTTCTTTTATTCGGCAATAATTTGAAATATTTAATACAGGCATATTATTTTTTAGAATTTCTAATCCATGAATAATATAAATCTAGAAAAGGAATGGTCTTATTTATTTATTTATTTATTTGAATTCCATTTTTAAATGAATATACACATCAATGATAAGTTTATTGCGGAAATTTTATATTAAGATGCTTATTGTATGGAATTTATCAATGCTTTCGACAATCGCCAATTATTGTATAAAAGTGGGCCGGAGGTTTTGTTCGGCTCCCACTCTCTTCGAGTAGAAGAAAATAATTCATTGCCTGTGAGTATATTAAACTATTCCTCAAGATCTTACACAAATATTATATATCGCTGGCGGCACATCATAAATCTCTTGTTTTATAATCCTAAAGTATATTTTTCGGTGGAATAATTATCACCCTATCGAGCAACAATATACGCAGATCCACTCACGAGCTTAACAAGGATTACTCTCGATCCCATTGCTCCCGACTGGACTGTAATGGGAATTGGTTCACTTAATACTGGTTACAGTTTGTAGTGTATAGTGTGTTTTTTGGTGGCGAAATAATGGTATAAAAGTAGTTTTTAATAAAGATAGGCTTCCAAGATCAAATAATCCCAATCGCGAATTTCTCTCTAAATTGACTTAGCTTTATGGAAGTCAATTGGTTGAACCTAGAACTTAGTAAGATGTTCAAATGTGAACAATGTAATCAACCATTCTTTAGATGAGCAAAAGTCTTGGAGACTTTAGGTCAGTCTTAACTTGAGCCAAGTAAGGAAACATGACTCAAAGTCGCCGTGTTTTTGTTAGCCTTGTTTGCATAATAAAAACTAATGTGTTGCGCTTATGGTTAGCGGCACGCGCTAGGTCACCGCGGTTTTCTTGGTCGAAGTATTTTCTCGGAGTTAATTAAAAACTTAAGTAAGGATGTAGGCACCTGTCAGACCTAGATCTGCTTATGATCTTGACTATTGAGCTGCAAGCCCTGGTATTTGTATCTAATTGGTTAATTTGACTGGTTAATTTAAGAGTCGCGTTTTATTCATTTACTCTCCCCTGTTCAAATCGGCTAAACCGTACAAAACTTCCTCAAGATATTAATTATTTCCGGGCACTTTTTATTTTCATAGGATGATAGGCTTGTAAAATTGGATCAATGAGTCACGGGATGCAGCTCCCAAAATTGCCCAGAAGCTAAATACCACTTAGAATAATTCCAAATCGTATGGACGATAGCGGTAATGGCCGAAAGGACATGAGATTCATTTGTTGATGGTTTAATTGTGAAATTTTGAAATTGTAATGTCCTTTGTCGTATCTTAGCCCACAAGTTATAATGTGCACACGTGAGGACTGCTTTGCGATAGAAATATATAAAAATTTCGATGTGCACTATAGATTAGTGTGCATTGAAAATATCTCACGAGTACTAACAGTGGAACAAAAGATTAGCCCGCTTAGAAGCTGCGAAAATACTAATTTTATACCGCTTATAGCTCTGAATGAACAAGATTAGCGGCCTTAGAATTCACTGACGCGCAGCAAAGATCTAAGTATCTTGTGTGTGCCTCACTGTCTATAAGTCTGAGAAGACTAAACCCTCGTCTCCCTTGCTCCTCAATAAGATCTTCTATTCTCTTTTCTTTTGCAAATCTTAAACTTTATATATTTATATTTATACTTATACGTGTTGGTGATACCCCTTTAAATTCCCCGTGAAAAATGGCCAAATCACTTGAAAAAGACTTCCTTTTCTGAGGGTCGTGTCTCCGGATTCGGCGAAATAGAAAAGTTGTATTTAATCTCAAACATCTTATTCTAGCATTGCCAACACGGGACGTGGTTCATCGACTCCAGCTATCTCTAGTGAACGGACAACATTCCTCACTAGGCGAATATGGCTGAAGGCAGAAATGCGAAGAAGAAAGAGATTATTATTATCAAAGTCTAATTCGTTCACGATCGTCGGTGCTTTTCGTCCCTCTCTATTCCTCGCATTGCCACAGAATGCTTACGGCTTCGAGCTAGGCGGGGTGGTCTGTCTCGGCTTTTCTTCCGAACGGGCCTCCGGAGGAATGCCGGTTCAGCCATTCCTTAGGGTGTGGACGCTCGCGGTTCGTGAGTTATTAGAAAGAGTTCCTAGAATATACATACTATGCACGAGGTGGCTCAACTCATTCGTCGCCCATTCGTATTTATTAAGAATCGTAATGTAAAGTAGGGAATCGAGACAAAAATTCACGTTAAGAGGATTGTATCGTATTCTTCAACTTCCTTGCGCGAGTGTTTGGGCCAAGTCAGGAGTTAAAGATCTTAAGAGAGAATGGTGTTGACCTACCCGGTAGGACTCCCCATTTTTATTATCGGTCGGTCACATCATTTGGTACTGCATGCTAGTAGATTATTTCGCCCTTTTATTGCTTTAGCGTAAATCTTTCAGAGTATCGGAATAGTTCTTTGGCTGGTGGGCGGAGTTGGCTCAAAATACTTAAGGAAAATTCGGGATTCTTCTTAAGCGCGTCGGTCATAAGGATACTCGGAATACGACACGCAATTTTCATGAGGGTTCATAACCCCTATGGTAACCATGCTCTCACAGTATCGTAGCAACTTACGCAAGTACCCGTGGAGCTTAGGACCGAAGTAATGGGTAGCAATACTCCAAAAAAGATTTCGGGAATGAGAAGAAGACGAACTGTTGTTAAAGTGTTGTACGAAGTTGCTGAGGATATGTTCGTTTAGTTCATTTCTTTATTTTGTGCTCTAGTATTTGAAGAAAGAAAAGTTGTAAATGCTTTCGCTCCTGGTTGTCTTTTTTGGCATGGTGTCTTTTTTGTGATAAATAATACATAGAAAACTTCTCTTTACCTAAATAAAGATCTTTGTGTTCTTAGTAGCTTTCTCCCTTGGTGTCTAATTTCGGCCTAGCTTTGTTTTCCGAATTGCTTTAGGTTCGGGATACTTTGGGAATTGAACGTATTTGTATTTTGATTATATTCCTCCAACAGGAACGAGGATATCCCATATTGCCGTTCAACGCGTTGCACTGAACTTGGATACTTACGGCATCCAAACATACATGAAGCAAGGGAGAAGCGGCCCACATACTTCTTCGGATATGGCTGTTAATGCCTACTTACATTACTTTGTGCTTCTTTGCGGCCGCTGAGGTCAATTATTCTTTGCTAGTTCATCTGAGGTCGTGCGATTCGTAGATTTAAGGGTATGTCTTCATTTCTTGATACACACTCTTTGGATTTAGCAAATTTGATTCTTTCCGCTCTTAAGTGATTATTTTTTTGGACTTCTGACATTGTATCTTTTGCTTTTCTAGAGCGGAGTTGACGATTTGGACCTCTTATCTTTCCACCTAAGCATATCACATGTAGTCTCAAGAAGCAAGGGTTGATGGTCTGACGGTCTCGATATGACCTACTGACTCCATGCGAGGCCACTACTAGATTCGTGGCAGCCCCGATAGGTGCTTATGTATCGCGCTCACGTCTATTTTTAAGAAACCAGCCATGTGGAGCAGGTCTATCGCCGATGAGAGGAGGGAGCCAGAAAGAGCGTTGACCGAGGTCCCACATGATATACAACCCTCAGCCATTTTGAGAGGGAGCAAGCACGGTAGTTTCCAGTTTATTCACTTACCCTTTCCGACCTGTCCATTTTCTCTGGGTTCGGTTTTCCATACTCTTGGGACGTGTCAGCCACCAATGATTGTACAAAATGACCAAGAAAAGAAAAGGTAAAGAGGGCAAAAGCAAAAGCAAGTGACGGAGATGCGTGAAGCGTAAAGGTGTCATACAGGATGGATGAAGAAATAGATTGATATGGAGGTTAATAAAAAAGAAAAAAAAAGAAAAGGGAAAAAGATGCATAGCCGTAAGAATTATTTTTAGCCGGAGCCTCTCGCATTTTCTTTTCGCAAGATTACTGGGGCTGGGAACCTAGCTTCATATCCCGTTAAGAGGTGGTTGAGACTCGGATTAGTAATAAATTTTGCCTAAGACTTGTCTTCTCATGGGCCGGGTGTCGGCCAGCACAAACACTCATAGGACGACTGAAAAAGGGCGAGCGCCATTGCCCATGAATCTGAGTTGTTCTGAAGAGATCTCAAAAGTCAGCCACACTCTCGGACTCACTCGCATGTACTTTCGACGGGGATACTATGCTTTCACACACAGGATTGTATTGAAGGCTCCGCTATAGCATTGTTCTTTGTGCCACGAGGGAATTGAGGAACAATGTGGCCACGATATGAGCTGCTCTCCCATGCTTAGGCGAATGTCGAGTTAATTCGAAGCAGGAGTGTTATGGAGCTTTCCGTGAGGGATTTAAGCTTCTTTGGGGGTGGCTATAGTATAAGCCAGTAAGGGAGTCGTCCAATGTAGAAGAGATTCGATGGAGATTGGGCCCACCATTACCGAGTTCAATAAATAGAGTTAAGGTTCTCTCTTTTACTTCGTTCACGACAGGCAAAAGGTTTCCGCTTGGTGACTTTAAGGGAAGAAATGCGGGGAAAGAGTCTGGGTGCTATATAGTTCTTCGATTTGGTTTTGGTATGGTTCAGGGGTTGGTTTTTCAAATGGGCAGCCAAAAGATCAGAGACAAGAGCTGACGTGTTTAGCATCCTTCACTGATGCATTTGATATGGTTTTCGCGATGCATTGAGAATTGGTTATAGATGTTTTTGCATGTTGCTATGCACTATTTGGCCCTTCTTGTATGTTCAGGACCCGGCGGTAAGCCTTGAGCCTGGTAGGCGTCAAGTCTCTCTACCAGCTGATAAGGCATCCATTCATGCTGTGCCGGATTTGGTGGCCATAGCCCTATCTGCGCAGTCGGCCCTTTTGGTAGGTGAACTTTGACTTGTTTTGATTTTGGTTGCTTATGGCATCTAACGATCCCAACTCGTTTTGAAGATGGTCGGCAGGATCGCCGACTTGGGCCGTCGCTTACACGATGCCCTTGAGAGGATTGACCGTTTGCAGTCAGAAGTGGTCGATCAAAAGAGCAGGGCCGAGTTTGAGATGATGAGGGCCGTTATGGAGACTACGTGAGCCAAAGCCGAAGTGGAAAGGGCTCGGGCTGCCGATCGGCACCGTTCTGATGCCGAAGATAGGGCGAACGTGAGCAAAGAATCGCTAGGCTAGCCGAGGAGGCGCTTAATAGGATGGAGACTGAGTTAGCAAAGTTGAAGGCGACCAAGGAAAAGGCAGAATCTGAGGCTTCTGCCGCATTCGAAGCAGGAAATGGCGCCGCCTTCAAAGAATACGTAGATGAAGTCCCCAAGTTCGAGAATCGGGGGTTCAAACACGGGTGGCTCAAGGCCCTTGATGCCGCTGGGGTTACATTGGCCTTGCCAATTCCATATGAGCAGGTGGACGTTGAGCCACTTGAGTCTGACCCCGAGGATTGATCTAGGAGTCAGTCGCATTAATTTTATGAAATACTTTCCCTTTTAATGTATGTTTTTGTTTTTAGGACTTTTGTTGGTTCCGAGTAGTTTTCATGTATAAATTGGCTACTGTCTGCGCTCAATTTATTAATGAAAATTATCTTCTTGTTTCACTACTAATGCGCAGTTTGTGATGTTATGTTGGTGTAGAATGTTTGCCTTTCACTACTTTAGTTAGAATGACTACTCTGTTGACCTTTCTATGATTGAATATCATGGCAATCTTATCATTCGTATGCCGACTAGTTCGTTGGTATTATGCTGAAATGATTTATTGGCCAGCTGGGGCATTTAATCCGAATAGATTGATTATTCTATCCTTGCCCTAGGCGGTGCATGATCATTCGGGCGCCGGAGGAGGCGAACTTAGTTTTGTTGTCGATTCATGGGCCGACTAGGGCACTTAAGCCGAATGTATTGATAAATCTATCACGCCCTTGCCCCAGGCGGCGCATGATCATTCTGAAGTCGATTCGTGAGCCGGCTGGGGCACCTAAGCCAAATAGATTGATTAATCTATCACGCCCTTGCCCCAGGCGGTGCATGATCATTCTGAAGTCGATTCATGAGCCGGCTGGGACACCTAAGCCGAATAGATTGATTAATCTACCCTTGCCCCAGGCGGTGCATGATCATTCGGGCGTCGAAGGAGGCGAACTTAGTTTTGTTGTCGATTCATGGGCCGGCTGGGGCACTTAAGCCGAATGTATTGATAAATCTATCACGCCCTTGCCCCAGGCGGCACATGATCATTTTGAAGTCGATTCGTGAGCAGGCTGGGGCACCTAAGCCAAATAAATTGATTAATCTATCGTGCCCTTGCCCCAGGCGGTGCATGATCATTCTGAAGTCGATTCATGAGTCGGCTAGGGCACCTAAGCCAAATAGATTGATTAATCTGCCCTTGCCCCAGGTGATGCATGATCACTCGGGCACCGGAGGAGGCGAACTTAGTTTTGTTGTTGATTCATGGACCGGCTGGGGCACTTAAGCCGAATGTATTGATAAATCTATCACACCCTTGCCCCAGGCGGCGCATGATCATTCTGAAGTCAATTCGTGAGCCGGCTGGGGCACCTAAGCCAAATAGATTGATTAATCTATCACGCCCTTGCCCCAGGCGGTGCATGATCATTCTGAAGTTGATTCGTGAGCCGGCTGGGGCACCTAAGCCGAATAGATTGATTAATCTATCACGCCCTTGCCCTAGGCGGTGCATGATCATTCGGGCGCCGGAGGAGGGGAACTTAGTTTTGTTGTCGATTCATGGGCCGACTGGGGCACTTAGGCTGAATGTATTGATAAATCTATCACGCCCTTGCCCCAGGCGATGCATGATAATTCTGAAGTCGATTCATGAACCGGCTGGGGCACCTAAGCCGAATAGATTGATTAATCTATCACGCCCTTGCCCCAGGTAGTGCATGATCATTCGGGTGCCGGAGGAGACGAACTTGGTTTTGTTGTCAATTCATGGGCCGGCTGGGGCACTTAAGCCTAATGTATTGATAAATCTATCACGCCCTTGCCCCAGGTGGCGCATGATAATTCTGAAGTCGATTCATGAGCCGGCCGGGGCACCTAAGCCGAATAGATTGATTAATCTATCACGCCCTTGCCCCAGACAGTGCATGATAATTCTGAAGTCGATTCATGAGCCATTCTGAAGTCGATTCATGAGTCGGATGGGGCACCTAAGCTGAATAGATTGATTAATCTATCACGTCCTTGCCCCAGGCGGTGCATGATCATTCTGAAGTCGATTCATGAGCCGGCTGGGGCACCTAAGCCGAATAGATTGATTAATCTATCAAGCCCTTGCCCCAGGCGGTGTGTGATCATTCGGGCGCCGGAGGAGGCGAACTTAGTTTTGTGTCGATTCACGGGCCGGCTAGGGCACTTAAGCTGAATGTATTGATAAATCTGTCACGCCCTTGCCCAAGACGGCGCATGATAATTCTGAAGTCGATTCATGAGCCGGTTGGGGCACCTAAGCCGAATAGGTTGATTAATCTATCACGCCCTTACCCCAGGTGGTGCATGATCATTCGGGCGCCGGCGGGTCTATCCAGTCGGCGCTGGGCGATTGAGGTTTTCACAATTAATGAAATTGCCTCAAGTGTGCTGCCTCTGTGAAGGATAAATGATTAAGGGTACAAATTTTATGAACACAGTAAACAACTGACTCCAGCATTTGAAGGTGTCGTGTGAATGTCAAACAGACTTTTCTTTAACAGTAGAGGGGAAGCGAGGACGCTAGCTGAGCTG